ATGCTAGTTTAGTTACATCTCCTAAATCTTTTCCTGCTGCAAGATGAGGAGTAAACAAGGCTGTTACAACTCTAGCAGGAGTATCCCAGAATTGTATTTCATCTTGATAATTCTGATCTAGTTGCTATACCGACCATCTTTGTCTTACACTGCTTGTGGTACTCCAAATAGTATGATTAAGAATTTGTTGGTAGCTAGGCATAAACACTGTTAGCTGCCCAAGATAACCTGGACCTCCTAAAGCTCCTGCTGGAACACCTGGCCATGCCCGGTCTCCACAGATCAAAAACATTCCTTCTGGCAGTGCTAAAGGATGTTGTGGTGAGCTCATGGTAGTCCAGAGACCTCTGCTGCAATACGCAGTATCATTCTGATACCATTTTTCAGTTGAATTTACCCAAAGTGAATTATTTGGATAAGTCAACAACAGAGATTTTCCCTACCAGGTTTGATCAGAATTTACCATTGCTATCCTCATGAGCTCTGTTCCTCTGAACATCACACAACTCTGGTTACTTGGCATGGAGCCGAGAAGGTCCAGTGGTCCAGTTCTTGTGGAGATAACATAGTTACATTCAATTTTTCTATAATCAATGTTGTTTGAATTGTATCTGGGAGATTAGGGTACTGATGTCTTATGGTTGTCCATTTTCCACAGAGACCGTCCCATGTCCTATGGCAGATATTGATAATCTGGGATTCATTGATAGTTAAGATAGTCTCGTCCTTTATCCACCCTGTAAATTGTTTAGGATCAAACATTGGGATGCATATGAGGCAGGTATGAAACGTGTTGTCAGGTGTAGACATAGATAAGCATAAAGAATCCTGACTCGTTTGATTGGCTAAAGTTACCCGTATGTTCTGTCTCGGCAGTGATTGATGCAGTTGACGTAGTTTCATTCCAATCGTAATTCTCGAAACAAGGACGATCACGATGATGCAGAAAGCACAGTCGAGTCTTGTTTCACTGTTTTCACTTATATCAGATATATCCTCACAAGGAGTACTGGCATTGTGAAAAACTCCTTGAGCCTCTTTGATTATTTTTCTTTCCAAATGAAAGTCTCATATACCAGCTGCCAAGTCATTAAGACTTTGACAGCATTTAAATCCCCTTTGGATGCACAGTCAAAAAGAAGATCTGCTTTTTTCCACGGTTCCAGTTCAGAAGCCTGTGGCATCTCTGCAGGTAGATTTTTTTCCTTTTAACCATAGTAACAGAAAAGTTAAAGTTTTTTCATTATATGCTACACCTCTTTTCTTTAGAATGTGTTTCAAAATTTTTACTATTGCTTTTTCATCACTTCACATATTATTTCCCATCTCATTTCTCGGTTGCTCACCTGTTAACAAATTTAGGTGATTGCGGCCTCCCCTCCCCTCCCCTCCCAACAGGAGATTGTTCAACCAAGACGACTCTTCTGGAACGCTACCATTTTTCTGTCAGTGCATTGTTTACAACCATCACGTTGGGGTCACCGTTTGAGGAGACCGAGGCACGGACTCTGTGTACAGTGCAAACATACAGAGACCTTTATTGGTTTTAACACTCAGGATTTATACCATTTTCAAAGCTATGTCAGTAAGCACGAGTTAGGCTGCATTATAATAATTTCTTACAGTGTATTATGCAATTCCTGTTCACACTCTCTAGTCTATACACTGATTGGCTAAGCTAAAAGATTAACTCTACCGTTGGCATCCTGGTTATCAGTTCTTTAGTTTTATAGTTCTTGCAACTCTGCATTTTCTTGTTTGCCAGCTGCCAACTTTCTTCAATTGGTCTTTATTTTTCAGTCAAGGACATCGTTGAGCCGAGATGTCCATTTTCTGCCAAAAAGCTCTCCACAGTAGGGGATGAGAGTATTTCTGTTGTGAGTGTAGACTATACTGTTTTGTGAGATTCTTTGTCCTCCTGGACTGTGCCATCCCAGCAAGGAACTTCTGTTACCTTAGATGTTAAAACTAACCGTCAGAAACAAATCTGCAATAACTTGGAGCTGGATACAACATTACTGAGGTACATTAGAACACAGCTAGCAAGGTTAGGAATGGTGAAAAAAATCATTTCAATAGCCAAAGCTGGTCAGAAAGCTATGCTCTGCTCCTTTGCATCTCTTTGCATCAGGAGCTCTGAAGTCATTTGGCATTTTTATTTCTGCAGTTATCTGCCATCCTTCAGAAACAGGCAAAAACCACAGAACATAATACAAGAAGGACAAACAGCAGAGCTGAACAGTAGTTTTTACCAGTATAAGCGAAAATACCCCAGTATTCAGGAAATGCAATGGGAAATTGGAACACGGGTACAGGGAAAGCGGCGGTTCGACTTTTGGGACGCGTGGGCTGGAAACTTGCTGCCACCCAGTGGCAGCAGGTGTGTTCCCAACAACGACCATTTCGAGCCGAGCTTGTGAAGGGCAGCCGGGGTTAAGGAGCCTGCCCCTGCCTAGGCAGGCGTGGTCTGGGACCCCTGACTCCCACCGAGCGGCTGGGGCACGCACAAGCTGGGAAACGGCCTGCTGGGAACGACTGAAAAAGACGAGGGCAAAGACTTTGCTTAAATTCAGTGGTTAATCTTCCCCTGTTGTGCCTCCCTGTAAGAAAAATGCCAGATACTGTGTACAAAAATTGCTATTCAAGTGCTGCATCTGTGCTAGGTACTTGCATTTTCGCTCACCATGTTGAAGCCGCATATCTCATATATGTTAAAAGTGGCAGTAAGGAACAGAGCAGGCCAAACTGCTTGCTGTCTGACAGATCACTTCATCGATGAAAAGCTGTACTGATCTCGACCAGAAGTAATTTTTCAAGTATTCTTCTGAGGGTTCTTTTGGGAGGAACACAGAGACACACGGTGTGCCACATCAGACAACTATGTAATTCTTCTGTCAGAAAAGACTGCAAAATTTTGGCATCATTAAAAATATATCTAATAAATGGCCAGCCAGCCAGTATAAGCACAACAGTGGTATAGTTGGAGATTTTTTCCACTAGTGAAGGCACTGGTTTAAGCAAATGGGGAGAACAATAACTACAATTTAAAAAACCCAAACCAAACCAAAACCAGAAACCAAACAATAGGAGCAACCTGTGGCAGATAAGATTTAACTAAAATTTTAAAAGTATGTTTTCTCTATGTTAAATTTCATAGTCCTATTACCTGTATCTTACTTATTTTGGAGTTAAAATTAATTTTGTCCTATCATCTGTTGTCAGGATGACTTGCATATTGAACTGTTCAGTGTTTTCCTAAACAAGGTGTTCTTCTTGAGCCATTCAAAGAGAGCTACAAAAAGGGGTGGATCAGGAATACCAACTTGCTGGTGCAAGCAATTATCTTCATGGAGTTCTGTAAGAACTCCTAACATAAAGGTAACTTGCATTTCCAGGCTCCTGACTGTATGAAGGATTCTCTCTCCAGCATCATGAATATGCAACTGTATTAACAATCTCTAGCATTTCCAAAATTTACTACTTACCCCCTATCATTCAGAATCTTCACATAACAGGAAAAGGAAACTTAGAGGTGGAAAGACTGTATTTAAGAGAAAACCCAAAATTGTCATAAATAATAGACTATTGCATGTTAGTGCCATTAAACAGCACTGAACTGGAATGGCCAAGAATGCCCTTTGACTCTCACCCTCAAGTTGTCTAGCCAATTAAAAACCTTCTACGTCAACAGTTACTTTAATCAGAATCCTTATCCTGCATTGAAACATACCACAACGATTTTCTGGCATGCAGAAGCCTCCAAAACAAGCATCTTGCCTGTTAGAATTTTCAACCTGAGAACAGTGTGTCACTAAGTTTAACAGAAGTCTATACATTAACAGTCCACCCTTCCAGTATGCATTAATACCTTTTTGCACGTAATTTTTTTTCATATGTTTCTATGATATTCCAATGCTGTTAAAATTTAGAAACATTTAATATTTCCAAAAAATATTAACTTGGGTAACAGTAGCATTCGATCTACTTTATAATTCCAGCACACACACCTATTCTCTCCCCTCAGTGCTTGTTTATTATTGTAAACAGAATAATTCAAGATAGGAGTATTTACTCTTTGCCAACAGGCAATATTTATTATTAACTGAGAACTCTACATACAGTATTTCACAAAATTATAATGGACCAATCAACAAAACCATGTTCTATGCAATTGTAAATAGCACTTTAACAGAACTTTAACATATTGTGCGTTAGGTGTCTTAGTAAAGTGACAATTTAGAGGATTATTTCATTGGTATGAAAGCGCAAACTTTCATTCAAGCCATGTATACAAAACGCATGAAAAAGATTGCTATACATGCCACAGGTCTAAAAAACCCCCAGACCGATCCCTCCCACTCCAAAAAATACCTAAACAAGTTAAATGAGTAAGTACTAGCATTCTTAGCACCGGTGCTACCACAAAGTCTTACCCTCTTGCAATCTGAAGAAATACCTGTAGCTTTGAGTTTTAGACGTATTACTGCAGCTTTACCATATAACTGCATTTTTTTGTTTGGCAAGACTGAAAGACTTACAGCACTATAAATGCACCTATTCAGTCTATTACCAGTAATTCCTGAAGTACTATATAAAGTTACTGTGTAGGACAGTTGACTGTTGAAGAAAAGTGTTTTTATATTAAAAGGTGATATAATATACAGCTGAAATTCAAGTATTTAACATTAAACTATAGGTGTGGAATTCTGACCTTCTGTTCCTGTGCACTACATAAAACAGATCAAGAATTATACTGGGGTTGTTTTTTTCTTCCCTGTACACCTGGGAAAAGGTGTAGAGGCAAACACAAAAATATATCTGTGAGTCTGTCTTGAGCCTAATCCAAAGCTGTTGACATGCATAGGGGTACAGCTGTCCAGATAAATGTGACCTCTGAATTTTCAACATGCAGCCTTAATTCTCAGTTCACTCCTATTTCAACACCTTTTTGTTCTTGACTGCAAGACTCTAGTCCCTGTTGTGCCCCTGCTTTTTATTTTCCCTCTTTAATGCAGCTGTTTCAATCAGTTGCCCAGGCAGACATCTTCTCGTCTGCTCAAGTGAGCACTTTAGCTGCACAATGTCACCATTGGGCAACCAGGGAGGCATGGAGATCAAAGGATGTAACAGTACTTCTTTCATACCAGCTTTTAGGGAGGCCTAGAGAGACATTTACACTTCTGTCAGAACACCAGTGAAGAAGTGCTGAAGACTTTATAGGCCTGAAGAACACTGGTTTACAAAACCAAAATTCTGACTAGAAGAAAGTTTAAATTCTTAAAAAAAAAAAAAAAGCCTCCTATAAACATAGTATTTTCATTACAGTCTAGATTCATTTAAAGCAATTATGAAATACTAGGATTATTTTTAATTATAAATGCTTTTTCTCTTGTTACCAAGTTAACTTCAAGACAGGAGTTCAACAGAAGTTACCAGAAACTTTGGCAAAGAACCCTAACATCTACAGAGTTACAAAACAGAGTTCAAGCTGTACAAAATTAGTAGCAGACATGACTACGAAAAAAAGTAATGAGAAGTGCAAGATTCCTCTCTCAAAAACTGTTCATAGCTTTTGATGCAGACAGCACATTCTGTGAACATGGCAAATCAGAATCTGAAGGCAGTTTTACCAACTTTGCAATTTACAAAAAGAAAGATAAATTACAGAAATGTGAGAAACAAGACCTGTGTGTACCCTGCTTTAGTACTTTAGCGCCTGAATATATTTTGTGTTCTTGAAAATTACTTTAAGCAGACTGTGCTTTTAACAAGGAAAGGAATAGAATTAAAATTGGGTTAGCCCAGTTTGAAGTATTTCTACAAACAATGCTATAGTAGCCCACCATTATAAATACATGAAATACATGAACCTCTTTTTGGACTTCCCCATATTTCTGGGAAAATAAACCACCAGAAAACCCACATGTAAAAAAAAAAATAAAGCATCAGAAATCTACAAAAAGCAAAGCAAATATCCACATAATCATGGTGAACTCTGAAGCTGAGGGCTGTGAACCTGTGTATATAAGTCTTTATAAACAAACACATACAAATGGTTGGAGGGGTTTTTTTTGGTGTGTCATCCCCGCCCCTCCCAATAGCAAAACACACAGGCAATATATTCTTTCAAATGGGTTTTGGATGGGGAAGTGCAAGTAGAGAGGACGAAAAATATGAGAAAAGGTAAAGAACAGTGAGGTTTTATTTCACTGGCATGTGAAAGTACAGAGGTCTTACTACAGCACTTACTGTTCTTACCTTTTGGATCCCAACTCATCACAAATAACAGCATAACTACATCAGTGGTGAAATTTAACACAAAATTTACATTTTGAAATTTTTAAACTTTATTTTTCTTAATGTTATCCATACTATATGCAGCCTATGAACCTGAAGAAAACACATTTGCTTCTGAGAGCCATAATAGTAAGTGTTATGGGCTGTTCTAAGTCAAAGTAGTCGTCCTGAGATTTCAGATGTTAAAGCTTTCTCCACAGCCACATGTTCCTTTGATGTTTGGATTATTGAAGATAAATTCACTGGACAGTTTGTCTTCTACATAGTCCATTTCAGTTCCTAGAAGTGTCAGCTGTGCCTTCTTCTCAATAAACACTCTAACCCCTTGAAAACAACAAAGAAAAAGAAAATACATACAGCAAAATCATCATTCACTTTGAAATTCTCTTTCGATCAGTGATAAAAATATGAAAGCTAAATATTAAGACTACCGGTATAAATTAGTTTTCCTGGACTAACATGAGGCACTTCCATTGCTGTTTTTACTCTACCTATTAAAGCCTAGAATTGTTATTTGTGTGTGCAAGTGAATGTATGTATTTTTGCGGGGGGTGGGGGTGGAATTTAAAAACATGATACCGAGGGAAAGTAAGATGAACAACTTTGGAACAAATCTCAGTTTCAATACTTCATTCCCATGCATTACAGCCAGTAAGCCATTTCCCACTACTCCTGAAGTTTGCACATCCACAAGATGCCCGAAAACCTTGAAAAGCCAAATGTTCCTCTCTCAAAATGATTATTTTTTGCTCTGCCAAAAACATTAGGTCTACCTTAATTATTAGCCATACACAGTCCTCTAACAAGGCAAATGTGTGAACTACCAAAGATATCACAGCCTTGAAGGATTAAGAATTAGTAGTTAATCTTAGGAACTAGAAGGAGCTCCCTTTTCTAAAGTATACGAAGTATCTACCTCCCTGGAAAGCTGCTGAACTTTAAAACTGCAAATCTGGTAAAAGGTGAGAGTGGACTGCTTTTATCCTCCACAGACTAGGAAATAATAAAATTACAAAATTTTATCAGTCAACAGCAGTAAGAACTCATTGTTATATGAGAGATTGCTTGAAAGCTGTTTCATCATAGTAGGCATTGAAGCAAAGCATATTACTAACACAAGTCTGTGGGCAACTGAATTGAATCAACATACTTTTTGGGGTCAATTTGGACAGTAACTGACAGTGAAGGCTAAACCTAATGAAAGAGTTTATGGACCTTATCCCTGAAGCAGTCACTTACTACCTAAACACCTGAAAATTCGTGCTGAGATGCAAAGCCACCAGCTTACTGAGCAGAGTTATTAGGCTGTTCGGAAATTAATTTCCGTTTTGTAATGTGATTTTCATTGTATATGTTTCAGGAATAGTACCTTCTCGACTGGTGTATTGTTATATATTATTGCAAAGCTCGTGTTATGAACTTTCATGCTGTATAATTAAATTATAATATAAACTGGGGTTTTGACAAGTTTTGGAGGTTTGAAGTTCAGATGTCAAAACAGCAATTTTGACAGATCTACGAGTTCAAACTTGGACATAATGCAGCACAAGCTGCTTGAAACATCAATGAGGTATATGGCCAGGGAAGTGCTAATGAACAGACAGTGCAACTTTGGTTTCAAAAATTCTGACGTGGCAATTTCGACCTTGAAGATCAAGAAGGTCGCAGACATCCTTCTGCTTTTGATGACGATGAACTGAAGGCTCTGGTGGAAGCAGATACACACCAACTGTTCGAGAACTTGCAAAAGAACTCGGGGTAAGCATATCAACTGTTTCTGAGCATTTGAAGAAGATTGGAAAGTCGAAGAAGCTCGACAAACGGGTGCCGCAAGAATTGAATGAGAATCACAGAAATCGCCGTTTTGAAGTGTCATCTATGCTTCTTTTTCACAACCAGAACGACCCGTTTTGCAACCGTATTGTGACGTGCGACAAGAAATGGATGCTCTTCAATAACCGGTGATGATCGGCTCAGTGGTTGGACCACGCTCCACAGCCCTTCCCAAAGCCGAATCTGCACCAAAGAAGGTCATGCTGACTGTCTGGTGGTCTGCTGCTGGTTTAATCCATCACAGCTTCCTGAATCCGGGTGAAACAATCACGGCGGCGAAGTACGTCCAGAAAATCAATGACTGCACCAGAAACTTCAACGGCTGTGCCCAGCACTGGTCAACAGAAAAGGTCCAATCTTTCTCCACAATAATGCGTGGCCACACGTTACACTTCCGATGCTGCAATGGTTGAATGAGCTGGGCTACGAAACTCTGTGTCATCCACCGTACTAACCAGACCTCTCGCCCATGACTATCACTTCTTCAAGCATCTCGACAGCTTCCTGTGCGGGAGACGCTTCAGAAACCAAGGGGAGGCCAAAACTGCCTTTGATGACTTCATCGCCTCCAGAAGTCCAGAATTTTATGCAACCAGAATAAATATGCTTGTTTCTCGTTGGCAAAAATGTGTTGATTCTAATGTTTTTTATTTCAATTAATAGATTTTATTCTGAGCTGAGATATGCCACTTCAAACATACAGGTTGAAATCGGCAATTAATTTCCGAACAGCCCGATATATAAAAGTCAAGAGCCTTCACTGGCAATCTGTCTAGAAGCAACCAAAACAAAACAGAAAGCACATAGGCACACCTGAAACACTCTCTGGCACTGGAACTTAAGGTCTCCAAGCTGAGGAAAACTCCTTTTATCTTAAGACCGAAGCCAGAAAATGCCTTCTGAAAAATGTGTTTTCAGCTCTGATAAAGCCAGAGCAGCTCTGAGTCACACAGAAGAGGCAACTCCAGAAGCCAGATGAATTGGAAATCAGGACGCACCTGCAGAATTAGGTGGCAGTCCCTATCTCAGATACTCTGGTTCAATTTAATAATTTGCTTAAGTTTCAACTAATTCTCTGTTTAAAAGAACTGGTCACAGGTGTTTTGAAGACAGCTGGAAGACGGGCTCTGCCTAGCAGCATAGCTTCTGTAAGAACATAACTGTGATATCCCACTCTTCCTTTGCCACCAAATTAGAAGTAATAATGCAACAGAGTTCAGTAATGCCTAAAAACCACTGTCTGAAATCTTTATAAAAACTGGAAAAATGTATAGAACTGTACTGTAGCTAGTATGGAGCTATATTTTGGATTTGTGATGAAAAGTGTTGATAACACAGGGGTGTTTTGTTACTGCTGAACAGTGCTTGCACAGAGTCAAGGCCTGTTCTGCTCCGCACACCACCACACCGGGCTGGGGGTGCACAAGAAGCTGGGAGGGGACACAGCCAGGACAGCTGACCCCAGGCTGATCAAAAGGATGCCACATACCATACAACATCATGCTCATATGACACCAAGCTGTGGGAAGAAGAAAGAAGGGGGAAATGTTTGAAGCAATGGTGTTTGTCTTCTCAAGTAACCGTTACAAGCAATGGAGCCCTGCTTTCCAGAAAGTGGCTGAGCACCTACCTGTCAGTGGGAAGTAGTGAATGAATTCCTTGTTTTGCTTTGCTTGGGTGTGCACAGCTTTTGCTTTACCTCTTCAACTGTGTTTATCTCAACCCATGAGTCTTCTCACTTTTACCCTTCTGATTCTCCCTCCCATCCCACTGCAGGGGAGTGAGTAAGTGGCTATGTGGGGCTTAGTTACTGGCTAGGGTTAAACCACAATTAGCAATAGATCTATCATGCGATGTTCAATAAAATTATCAGGCAGAAAGTTTAAATACCAGCATATGAAAACAATTTTAAAAATACTCTTAAATTAAATCATAGAACCGGCTGTAACAAAGCAGTGTAAAGGTCAAAAGCATAGAAGGTAAAAACAAATTATGAATCAATAAAGAGTAGTTAGAGAAGGTAAATGGGAAAATCCCTTGCAAATAAAATCTTTATTTTGCCCAGCCTTGGTTTAGGTATGCTGACAGTATTCCTTTATATATGCATTGTTCTGTATTATTCTCTAAATATCTGCTACTGGACACCTCTGAAGACATGAACAATGGACTAGACTATTCTGGTGGAGTAGTCTCTGATCAGATTTTAAGATTTTAACTAACTGGTTACTTCAAACCAGAAACTACAGTGAAACAATTCCTGTAACAGCACAGTAGGACCTTTTGCTATAACTCATTACTTCAAGTAATTTCTAACCCATACCCTAGCAAACCTGTAAAGGGTTTTTCTTCCCTATCACCACAGAAGTTTGTTCTGCTGCATCAGAAACTCACCATCTTGAACTACTTCTTCATCAGAGTCTCCTTTCGATTTTGTGTATTCTAGCGTGTAAGAAAGTCCATTGCATCCTCTTGTACGTACACCTACTTTCACGCCTACCTAAAAAACCAAAAAACAAGCCAACACCACATTCATGACTTTTTAAAAACCTATTCTGGAATGCCAAGATACAAACTATGCAGAACAACAAAACGCTGACATTTTTATTCTCCACTGCCTCAAAGCAGAAATTAATTACCTTAATGGATAAAAGTTAACATTTTTTTCCTTTTACAAAATTGACTGCCAAGGTAAAAGCAAGTATCAGATGTTTACTACTATGGATCAAGCCCTAAACTATGGTAAAGTTTTGAAGTAATAAATTCTTGGCACTCCTGGTGCCTGGTCTCATAAAGACTGTCAAATTTCAAAGATGGGTATTTCTGTGACTTCAAATTAATGTTTACTCAGATGCTAACTCAGGTGCTATGTTAAGATTACTGACAGTAACTTAATTATGAATCTGAGGTCAAGACAAGGGCAGTTACCAGATTTTCACAGAACTCTTGTAATGACACCATCTGAAAACTTACTTCAAACCAAAGTTTTGAAAAATGTACTTTGACTTCCCCATTAACTCTATTGCCCATCTCACTTAAAAAGCAATCCCCTCCTGGAATCATGTTTAATTGTTTACTATTTTAATAAATCTTAAAAGCTCAACCTAGTTATTATGTTTGTAACATTCACAATACCCAGCAAGTCTGATAAAAAGAACACCTGTTTAAGTACAGAACTGAGAAAGGTTTTAAAGAAACAGAAAGTTATTTGTGCACAACAATCTTTCAAAAGTACCTGTACCATCTTCCACACACCAATGCTTCAGAACTAAAGAGGAAAATTATATTATCTAGCTCCATAATCAATGTTACAATAAAAATGTATCACAACATATCACTTGTCATCAAGCAGGATCTCAAATAGCATTTATCTTTTCAGACTGAATACCCTTCTCTACAGGAACTACTACAAATGGGCTGGAAAATGCAAACAGCATTTATAGCAAGAGGATGCCTGACCAGCCAAGCCGTAGGCTTAGGACTTCCTTATGATGGTTTAAAACATTAGAACAAAGAATCTAGTTAGTTGCAGATGTGCAGGAAGCAAAAGAAACAATGGGCCCTGTATGAAAGTCAAAAGAGAAATATTCTTGAAATAGCATTTACTGTAATGAAGAAAATCTAATGCTTGTTTTTATAATGGTTAGAAAGCAAAACTGTGTTTTTCCCCAAGAAGATGACAAGCTCAATCAGTTATTTTGAGAAATGGTGGTTACTTAACAAAGATAAATTATCTGGCAAGTTTCCTAAGAATTAGACATTCTCCAGTGGGTGTGAATCTAATTTATTTTTATATACTTCACAATGAGAATTCATACAATAACTTGATTAATAACGTTTTAATATCAACAGCTGAAGATCTCTTCCTACCAGAAGTCACCACTATGCCATACTAAAACGCTTCATCAAGTCATAGCACGAGAACTTGGAAGCTTAAACTTTTTTCAACTCATGAGTAAATAACTATACAGTGAAATATCATTACAGTCAGTTATCTTCTGCATTTTATTTTATAAAGAAATAAAGCTTGATACATAAAATATGCCAACATCTCTTAACATTTCAGTGTTAAATTCAAACTTCTAAGTTAGTGAGAAATGCTTTGTCATCATGAGCTATACTAGTACCCTAGCACAATCTACAGGTTGCCCCTGTTTATACTTACATGCTCAGGTTTATCTTTAAGAAGCTGTTTTATCTTCTGAACAGCTGATGGGGTCTGAAAAACAAGGCATATAGATCAATTTGAATTTTTTTTTTTTGTTTATTTGCAGTGAGTACTTGCACATACTAAAGTGTGCAATGTACTCTGCTGTACTATAAAAATTTTCTATTTCAACTCTGCACAACTCTGTGCCCTCAAGTTTTTTCAGTTTATGCTGTCTCCTATCTACGAAGTTCACCTTCGGCATCAGCCACCTATCAGTATTGACCAGCCTGTGTTCTACTTGAACTGGTATCTGATATGAAGACATGCACTCTGCTGTAAAACAGAAAATTGCTGAACCTAATCCGTGCAGAACACAATACCTCTTCTCTCCCCTCATCACCCACATTGCCAGTAAACAGCTCAAGAACTGCAGTCCTTAATATTAGGACTTTTGGGTTTTTTTTCCCCCCCAAAAAATCATTATCACAATTCAGCTAAGTAGTTCTGCTCTTGTGAAACTTTTGTCACATAATCATTACAGACAAAAATAAATTAGGCACAGGAGCATTTATGGCTTAATTCTCCCACTAACCAAGAGAAGAACTGTGACTTTACAGCAGATAATTCACTGTTCATGCAGCTCTAGCTGTTGCAGAAATGCAAGAACACAACATAAACACAAAAGTTTCCGTTACAAGATTACAAATTTTCTAAGACAAGGAAAAGCATTAGTAACGTGAAATTCTTACTGCAAGCAGGCTTAAACACACAAAGCAAACTACAAGTAGACTTACAGTAGAAAACCTTTTTTAATTACACATATTAATCCTAACTTGTTACAGAATCACTACTGAACAGGCATTATCTTCTGTGACAAAGGACTGAACTACCTGCAATTAATCTGCCCCTGTACCCGCATAGAACTGGCTGTATGTACTCTCCTCTGCAGTACTCCCCCTCAACACTACAGCCTCCCCAGCACTGCCGCTAGTAGCAAACGTGCTTCTTCGTAACAAAAGGGTACAAAGTCACCTTGGAAACAATCTACTCATCAGCTTCTGTAGATCATGCACTTTTTTTTTTTTTTTTCCGCCAAATAAATACACTTTTTCGGGTGACTCCGCAAAAAGACACACCACACCACACCCCTCCTCCCATGAAGGGACTATTCTCCCGGCGCCTGCCCTTGGCGGTCCTGCTTTCTGCAAAGGGTGCCTGCAAACGGAGCTGAGGGCCCCGCAGTGAAGTCGCGAGGGGGAAGTCACCCCATCGGCCTCTCCATAGCCCTTCCCTTCCGAGCAGAGCCCAGCCGCAGCACACAACTAGCAACCTCCGAGGGGTAACGTCATTGGCCCTCGGCCACGACACTGCCCCGGGCGAGTTCCAGTCCCGCCGCCCCGGCACGGC